CAAATTTCAGTCTTATTTTACATTTTTTTCATTCTTAGGAATGTCTAAATTCAGTTAAACTAGCAATTCCGTATTATATTTATAAATCTTTATAACATTATACAAAAATTAGATTTTTCATAAAAACTGAAATTTTGCCGGGAATGGGGCTTTAACCATTCTGTATGGGAAAATTTTGCAATCATTGACATAAAAACATTCAATAAGTTGATATTTTTTTTTAAATGGCAATGTTTTTAAGTGGTCTTCTCACTAATAATTTCATTGCCAAGCATACAGACTTTAGCAAATTATGGAAATAAATCTTTTGATACCATGATATAGGTTTATGTTATGACTGCTAGACTTAATGGCTTGGAATAATGGGTATGGATACAGGAATTTTATTCTATATATTAAGGCCTAATTTCATTAAAATGTAATTTTATAGGGTATATCCATTTAAGTGCGGCTATTGATTTACTGTTTTTACCTGAATGGAATAGCTTACCCTACTGAGTTGGAGAATGATGTCCCATCAGCTCCAATGATGAACCTTTTAGCTCAAATAAAATTAATACCTGTCATCATGGAGATATGGTCACTGTAGCAAACTGAGTTAAATATGCTGAAGTCCCATGGTTATAAAATGTTTAAAAAAACTATTAATTTTGCAAGTGAAACAATTGTGGTTGCATATTAAACTGAATGCAAATTGTCAGCCGTGTCAGCACATGCAGAGCCAGATTCCTGTGCTGATATGTGTAGTGATTTGACATCAGAAAACTAGACACTTACTGTACTCATACAATCCATATACAGTAATAAAATTCTATTATTTTAATTAAGATTACAAAATACCTTCTTATAATTCTATAGCTGTGTTTGTGTGCTTTGTTTACTGTAAATTACTACACATATTGACATATTAATCTAGCTGGATCTGCATCCAAGTTAGAATTCTGAGGACCGAGCTTGTCTAACCTTTTTGTAAACTTAATTTTCAGGACAGGGAGGAAAGACCTCTTAGAAGCACCTGTATTCAAAATGTCCGGAAACATTCCGATTGAGGCCATTAACACTTTTGTGGTGTGTCCAGTTTGTAAAGAACCATATGATGTAAATGTTCATCGTCCAAAAATTCTTCAATGCAAACGGAATTCCACACACACCATATGTATCATCTGCCTTAAGACACTCATCAGGATGTGTAGTGATGATGATGAAAGGGATACATTCAACTGCCCAATTTGCAGAGAGGAACATCAACTACCTCCAAGTAACATTGATGCCAATGATCACTTTATTGACAACAGCGATCTATTCAGACTAAGTGATGTCCTTCAAGATCAAAGTGTGCAGAAAGATAGTAGTCAAATAAAATGTCAGTTTTGTGATGTTGCTAATGCTGATTGGTGGTGTGATAATTGTTCAATGGGGATTTGTAAAGCCTGCCGTGGGATTCATGATCGCCTTCCCATGATTCTGCATAAACTAATTCCTGTACTTGAAGTTGACTGGCAAAATGTAAAAAAGAAAGACTTCTGCAAGCAGCACAGAAAAGAGATTATCAAGGTTTGCTTTTGTACTACAAACAAAATGTCATACTTGTGTAAGATATGCACAGATGATCATAAAGGCCATGATTTTAAAGATTTGATAACAGTAGCTACAACCAGGTTGAGTGCAGTTAAGAAACTGTATGAAAAGGCTGTGGAAAGAAACAGACAAGATCTTGATTGTAAACAATCATTAGATGCTACTAAAAAAGTGTTAGCAAGCAACATCTGTGCTGTAGAATCAAAGCTTTTAGCATGCCAGGATCACCACATGAAGATTATGCAGATGCAACATGAAAAAGAGAGAAAAGAGCTAAGTGATATCAAAGAAAACCGTACAAGTTTTTTAGATAATGAATCAGAGAAAAATGAACAGAGATGTTGCACTTTTGACAACATCAGAACTAAATATGAAGCATTACTGCAAACTTCATCGGTTAATACTTTAAAAGATATTGATTATGTCGAGGATGCTTTAAATATGTATCTGACAAGTATGTGTAGAACTGCAGCAGACACAAATGCATATTTGGAAATTCTGTTATTCCAAAATGATAGTAAATTCAAAGAGATGTTACAGGAAACATTGAAAATAAAAACCATGCCAAATGATCTAAAGGTGTATATTCCAGATGTGGCCTTCCAAGACCATGAGTTTAAACTGGTTATTCAAACATTTTCTGAGAATAGACAAATTTGCAGAGTTGGTGGCCTCCCTGTAAAGGTTTTTGTTGAATCCTCTTGCTGTGATTTCAAAGAAATGCTCTACCCATTATCATCAACTGGTGAAAGAGGTACGCCGGGAATGTATGTTGTTCCTTTTGTACCAAAATTCAAAGGTGAATGTAAACTTCATGTTTTTGCAGAAGAAAAATCTACAACATTAAGACACAGTACCCGTATGTCTGTCCATCAGATTGATATATCTTTTAATAAAGTAGTTCTTTGTGACAAACTTTGTGAAATATATGCATGTTTCAGGGATGATATAGATCCAGATGTTGTGGAGAGGCTCAATGTACTGTGCCAAGACGAAGCTGGTAAAATCTTGGAATCTGAAGTTACATATCGTGATAGTAAGAAGTTAATTGCTAAATTTAAACCAAATTACCTTGGGAAAAAAAATATCTTTATTACTGTTAATAACATAAAAATAGCCGGACCATTTGTAACTGCTGTTTGGGAAGAATGCAAAGGATACTTGAGTGATTCACAAGTCAATGAAATAACAGATATAATATCTGAAGGCAATAGTCCATATTTTTCTTATCTTACTGATGACACTGGCAACACTTATCCTAACATGTCATTCATTGGTTTTGATGGAGAAACTCACTTTGTCCTTAAAAATACTGTGAGGCAAGAGAAAATAACTTCCTCTGAAAACAGACTTGCAAGAAAAACAGATTTAACAGGTTTATTTTCTGCAGGTGAAAAGGATTATATTTTGAATCATGTAAAAAATGCTGCAGGTTTTGCTATTAGTCCATGTGGTGAGTTCGCAGTATCAGATTATGAAGAACATTGCATACTCATATATCGAACCCCTAAGCATTTTGGAGACAGCCAAAAAAGCCTTGAACCACTCAGATGGATTGGAGAGGAAGGACGACAATGGGGTAAATTTAAGAATCCAACCACTTTGCGAATAAACACTGATGGGAGTAAGTTATATGTTTGTGACAGTGGTAATGGTCGAATTCAAGAGCTTGACATGAATGGCAATCCATTGAATGTTTTTGGCCCAGAAATTCTTAGACTCTATACACCAGAAGCAATCTCTATATCACTAGAAGGATACCTACTTATCCTTGACAAGCATAAGTTAGTTACCTTCAATGTGAATTCTTGTACACGAAGAATTATTTATCAAGTAGAGATTTGTTGTAATGAAAGTATATGCAATTTCAATCATCTCATTTGTTGCATATCACAAGGCAAATTTGTACACCTTTGTCGTAAAAATAATTCTCTACGTATATTTAAGTACAGACCAATGGAGGAAGTACAGGTATAAATTAACATTCCATAAAATATGGCCACTTTTACAATACATTTGCAGTGTGTGCCTTTTTGCTTGATAGGCTCATTTTGATATATATTTGTCAAGTGTGTATGATATCAGTTGTTATACATATTGACCGCTCTAGATTTGGAAAGCATCATGTGTGACACTCGTTGGAAGTAACACGCACCTAAAATTTTAGGTTTGTTGTAACATTACTTTTTGTATTAATATAACTATCGTTATTATTATTGTAGTACTGTACAAAAACATCAAGAAGCGACTCCAGTACACAAGCTCAGCAGAGCCTTAAATGGATGAACTTAGACCAAAGAGTGCTCATAAATGAGGCCATCACTATGTATAAGATAATGAATACGGTAACCTCGCACCTCCTTATTTATGCAACAAATTTATTATCAGAGATAACTATTACAATATTAGAAGTAAACCAAAATTATTATTACCAAAAGTAAGAACTGACTATAAGAAAAGAAACTTTATAGGGGTGCAAAAATCTTGAAGGATAATAGTGAAGACCTAAAAAATGTTATTAATGTCAATTTATAATGTAAAAAAAAATGTTTATTGCTACCATGTACAGTGTAAACACAATTTGTTCATCCATTGTGATATTGTATTTCTGTATATTAGCTTATGATTTTTAGTTTAGTTTTTAATTTCTGTTTGTACCTTTTGGTAATTTTGTTATTTTATCATGTAGATGGGTGACAGGCATTTTGTAACCTGGATGTTTCATGGCGCTATACTGGACATTCCATAACCATGGCATTTCAGGTCTAAAAATGTCCAGGTTGCGAGGTACCAGTGGTGGAGTCGCTGGGGGTCTGGTTACAAAATGTCAACATTTCCATATCGAATAATAGTTGTATTAATTGAATTGGTTTTCTTTAAGTTGTTCAATTAACTAAATGGTATGTTAATTTAAATTTCTTAATTTTTTGCTTCTCATTCATGGACTTGTAGAAGAATATTTTTTGGTTGTTTATCATGCTATTGCTTCCATTGTTTTTATTTTTGCTAATGTTGAAGTTGCCTTAATATTGTAAATATTTTAAAATATATTATATTCATTTCTTTTTTATTACAGTAGTACCAGGCCTTCCTTATAAAGCAGTGCTAGTCACTAAAAATACTGTTAGTAAAAATGGATGATCAAATAGTAATAATTAAACTTTAAAGTGACTGATTAGGCCACTCTAGTAAAAACAAAATTCATATTTAAATTTAGAATTTAAGTATATGTCTGTCTGCTGCTGCTAACTGCTTTTGTGTATAAAATCATTGCTACTACGACGATTTTAATGTTTTTCCATGATTATGACGTCATCTGATTTGATTTGTCAAAATATGTTGTTATCGCATAACTGATAAATCGTTATCTAATTGTTCTAGTGTAAAAACTTCTCTTTTTTCTTTTATTTTCTATATTAACAATTGATTTTTAGCTTTTTTATCGTTATCGTTGAAGTATAAGCAGGCCTTTAGCCATGATATTTTCATTACATTATATTATTGATTAATTACTGGGCTTTAATTCGGTATATTTAGTGCTATGTTTAGGAATTATTTGTTTTAAATATTGGTCACAAAGATATGGTCAAGATTTATTCCAGCATATTTTTTGCTTAATATTGTGAAGCATTTTGTTCTACATAATCCAGACCAGGTCTTAATCACCTACTGTGCAGTACATTTTGTAACATGTGTTCATGTAAAACAAAACATCTTAAGTAATATTTGAATGTTGTTTATTGTTCATCCATGTTTTTATAAAAATGACCAATATTGACGAGGGAATTATACTCATTCAGTAGATACAGTTGAACAACTTGAATGTTGTAGAAATGTATATTTAGTCATCTTAAGAAAAAATAATAATGACCAGTAATTGTATTTGTTAATTTGCTTTTTGTTTATTGTAATTTTCAATTGTAATTGTGCAATGACAGTTTAATATATATAGTGAAATCATATTATTAATGTTGGAAATTCTATATTTACCCATTTTAACACTGTTTAAAATTTTGCAGTTATCTATCTACATAGTAGGTTATTAAAGGTAGGGCTTACCCTCTTTCTTAGTCGTATTATACACAATGGATGTTATAGATGGTAAAATAATGTGAGTAGCCATAATACTCAATTATAAGTAATTAAAACAGACTAATGTAAAAGTCATGTGAGATGAAGAATTAAGTGGAGTGAAGTTGTCCTTAGGAATTTTACAGAAAGTGTCATTCAGTATAAAGACAGAATAAATAAATATATAAAAGTGTCATTCAGTATAAAGACAGAATAAATAAATATACTCAAGATTTAAGTAACACTATTGAAGCGATACAGATAAGGGCATGCCATATAATCTTAGGCAAACATTTCAATTCTTATGAACATGCCTTGGGCATATGTGAACTTGAACTGCTCTCTGAAAGGAGGGTGGCACACTGTCTCAAATTCGCCAAGGGTCTCACTTTAACCTCACATTCTTCTGATCTGGTACCACACACTCGTTACCGCAGCTACAATAAAAATCTCTGCAATGGTAACAAAATCACGCAATTTTCCATTAAAACACATAGATTTTTCAATAGTCCAATCCCGTACTATATCCGATTACTCAATAATTCATAAACAGCAATGTTACCCTTGATGATTTGAGTGTGCCACCCTCCTTCCCGATTGGTGCTACAAATTTTCGGTCCAAATAATAATAATAATAATAATTATAATAATAAAATAATTTTTTTTTCTATATATATATATTTATTTTTTATTTATTTTTTTTTTATATGTATTTCTTGTATCTTCTTTTTTTAATATTTTAATGTTTTTGCCGCTTTCTTGCCCATAACTTTTGTAATATTACAAGCAATTTGGCCCATTGGGCCACCATTTGTAATACCTCTGAGTGTTTTTTATCAGTAAAGTGAAGTACATATATGTATAAATTCTAGATATTCTTTTTACTGTAATTTACTATGAAATAAAAGTTAGTATGCTGGTACTGGGTGAAGTAACCATGAGCTGGTAGCCATTGACATGAAGGTGCCATTTGGATGATGCTACTTTTGAAATGTATTTTCGGAGTCACATACCACCACATTGTAACACAGTGGCAGATCCAGATGAACCCCCCTCTGTGAAGAGGTAAATTACCTGACCTTTTCTAAGAGGGGGAAATGCTGTCCAGGACCATGGTAACCAATCTACTTGAATAATATTTTGCAGAAACCTATAAAATTAATAACTTTTAAGGCGAAAGCGGATTGATGATGAGAACAGTGTCCGGTTCATAGGGAACGGTCCTATGAATAGGACGATAATACTTAGAATGTTGATGTTCGACTGCAGAGCATTTTAGTGTGAGTTTATACCTTTATTTTACGGGGTTTCATAATTGGTCTAGGCCAAGTAAGATGTGTATAAGAGACAGATATACTATATATATGTATGTACTAATATTGGATTTAATTTATATATATTCATTTATTATTATTAACATGATCACGCTGATGAACCTCATAATAGTCATCAGTGTGTAGTGTAGAACACTAGTGCGTACTAATTGTTTCGATACGAATTTTGCTTCGATACTAAGTTTGCTTCGATACGAATTTTTGCTTCGATATGAATTTTGTTTCAAAATAAATTTGCTTCGATGAATATTTGCAATTGCCGAAAGGTGCAAAAGCTAGTCGCTAACGAGGGATACATTTTTTTCCCAAGAGAGTAGGCCTATCTTTGTATATACAGTTCGCCCTCCAATTTGAGACCACTTTGGGGTGGTGGTCTCGGGGTTGGTCTTCAATTAGAGGGCTAGCTTTGTGTTAACTGTTAAAAGGTTGAAGATTTTTTTTGGGTCTTTGGAAAAGTGGTCTCCAATTAAAGGGGTCTCGGAATTAGAGGGGTCTCGAATTGGAGGTTGCACTTATTGCTTGGCGATATATTTGCAAGAATATCATCAAAGCATATTATTATTTATCCATTCTAAGAAAATTATTTTCTTCTACTTATTTAAATAGAGCAGAGTATGCTGCATTTCTCTTCGCTTGATCCAGTGTTTAATCTATAACTTTTTATCTTTTATAACTGATTGCAAAATATATTATTGTAACAGTAGCTTTGATTAACAGATCTAAATCAACCATGGTTGAATGAAAACAGCAAATACTGAAAACTGAAATGGTTTTAGGGGTTTCAGGTCTGGAGATAGTCTCTGAATTGCATTCAGTTTGACAGGTTATTCATTAAAATCAAAATAGGCCCTAGTTGAGTTTTGTTTATGGAATGCATTTCCGCCAGGAGAATGCATTTCCTCATGGGAAACCTGTCAAAGCCAAAGTTTGATGGCAAAACCAAACCGTGTGTGAGGTGAGCTTAATAGGTGCCATTGCGCGTACATAGATCTTTCTAGTTGCTTTCTTTAAACATTTGTTTTAAAAATCGCATTTTCAAAGTAATGTATTTTATTTGCTACACAAATGAAGTAGATGAGGCGGAAGAGCTCATTTTTTACAAACTACTGTTGGACTAACACGTACAAAACTGGCCGAACAATTTAATGTTTACTGAAAGAACTATTATCAATTGCTTGTTACGGTGTGGGTAGAAAGGAAGATGAATTTAGACGTAATAGGTAACAATGTTTCGTCATCTCTGCATTAATTGTCACTACTACCACTTTGCTATTTGTTACAGTTTATTCTCACTAATAATGTGATGTCGTTGAATGAGAGTCTAGAGCGGATGACAAGTATTGGGGTCATTTTCACATAGCATTGTCATGGTAACTTAATGGGGTTGAGTCCCACTGAGAATGGATTGGTGACAAATGGCCTGGATTGATAATTAAGCAACGTGCAAATACTAATAAATTAAACTTGACACTCGTCTCGAAGCAAAATTTGTATCGAAACATAATTCGTTTCGAAGCAAAATTCGTATCGAAGCAAAATTCGTATCGAAACAAAATTCGTATCGAAACAAAATTCGTATCGAAGCAAAATAAATATCGAAGCAAGAGAAACAAAATTCGTATCGAAGCAAAAGAAACAAAATTCGTATCGAAGCAAAATTCGTATCGAAACATACTTCGTATCAAAACAAAATTCGTATTGAAGCAAGATTCGTATGGAGCAAAATTAGTATCGAAGCAAAATTTGTATCGAAGCAAAATTAGTATCGAAGCAGAATTTGTATCGAAACATAATTAGTTTCGAAGCAAAATTCGTATAGAAGCAAAATTCGTATCGAAACAAAATTCGTATCGCGTCGAAGCAAAATTCGTATCGAAGCAAAATTAGTATCGAAGCAAAAGAAACAAAATTCGTATCGAAGCAAAATTAGTATCGAAGCAAAATTAGTATCGAAGCAAAAGAAACAAAATTTGTATCGAAGCAAAATTCGTATCGAAGCAAAATTCATATCGAAGCACAATTAGTATCGAAGCAATATTCGTATCTTATCGAAGCAGATATCATATCATCGCATTGTTGCGTAAATGGCGTTCCATATTTATCGATACCGGTGGAAGGGAATTCCCAAGATATAAAAATGTCGCATCCAGCCATTTGCTGCGATTGAACTGAGTTCCGTCCGAAAGGTCCACTGATTAATCTCAGATAAGATAGTATAATACATACTCCAAGTATCGAAATGCAAGCCATCGTGTCGGGATTCAATATTTCGACATTAATTATTTCATCATCGGGAATGAAAAATTAACTGAGTTCCTGTACATAAAGCACTTCGAGAAGCCATTAAGAAGTCAAGGAGAGGAGGACAAAATTATGCATGGATCTCAATAAGCAAATTAGGCCCATAAAATAAAAACCAACAGTTGGACTGAAGATCTGCTGTCCATCGTAACCGATCTACTTGAATAATATTTTGCAGAAACCTATAAAATTAATAACTTGGCGAAAGCGGATTGATGATGAGAACAGTGTTCGGTTCATAGGGAACGGTCCTATGAATAGGACGATCGAATACTTAGAATGTTGATGTTCGACTGCAGAGCATTTTAGTGTGAGTTTATCTTTATTTAACGGGGTTTTATAATTGGTCTAGGCCAAGTAGGTCTATAGGCATAGATAGGCCTAGGTATTTTTTTTTTACGACAACGAAAAATATTTGTTTAATGAGCTAAAAAGGCTGGAATAATCCTATTTTGCTGGACTGTAGGCGATGTTGTGATCGTTTTGCTCTTCAATATATTTAAAAATTGTCTTTGTTGTATTTGTGTGTATTTTCTACTTTTT